CTAAAATGTTTTAGTTTTTTTTTTCGCTTTGCAAGTTAATGATAATTTTTAAACATATATGCCTCGTTCATTTTCGGACATAGAAAGTTACATTAAAAATTATGGAATAATATAATTGTTCATTGAAGTCAAACCAAGAATTACGGGCGGATGGTCGCACAGGGGTTTCTCGATTAGTTTATAAGAATGTTACTGAAGGATTGTGCATGTGTTTGGATCATGAATAAAAGTACGTTGTCATTGTTAATATTTGTGTTGTACATTATCACCTTTCGATGGCTTAGCTTTCGATGTAACTCATCAGACATCTGCTGTTCGGAAAGCATAATTACTACTAGAAATATTCTATTTGTGTATTTCGAATGCGAACAACACATTACCAATATACCAACATCTATTTGTAGTTAAGGATGGTTTGGAAGAAGGAAGTTTGGATGTAAAGAATTATACGTAAGAATTATTGCTCCTAAAATATTTAAAAATGTAATATATTGCCGTTTGTAAAAATATAAGATGTTATGCGAATGGGATCATTAGCCTAAGTTACGTGGTATTTTAAAATATATTACTCATTGCATGGTTTCATCCTTTCGGTTTCTTCTTCTCTTCTTTAAAATCTTCTGTAATATTGATATTCCGTATTTTTTATTCAAAATGAAATTAATTGTATTTACACAATCACTGCAATCCACAACAGACGATGTGTCTCATGACCATATATCAAACCATCTGACGCAGACGTGGATTACTTGATTTTCAAATTTTAATAGGGGTCCCAATTCTCTTCACTCCAAATCCAAGTGAGCAAGTATTCCATGTATTTACACACACGCAAAAGTCAAAATGGCAAAGGTATTTTCTCATTTGAGTATCAGTTATTACGAAATATGTATGAAATGTTCTCTGCCAGACAATCAAAGAAAACATTTCTAAGAACAACATATGATTTTATTAGCCATTAGTTCAAAAAACATAATATATAAAATTATCATCAACGCATAAGAAACAGCTCCTCATATCTGAAAACAATTTTATTCTGTATTTACAATGTGTAATGCGCGAGACTTCTTTAAACAATAAAACGTTTTGTATATTATTTGTTTACGAATAAATATTAATTTAAATTAATAACTTACCGCACGTATTGTACAGTAATCGAAAAGAACGTGGCCTGCATTTCGTTCAAAGTACATTGCAAGTTACGTCATGTCAAGTTAAGGCAGGTTACGGGGAGTGAGTTACGTCAAAGTAAAGTGACTTTAGCCTATGTCAATATGAGGCAAACAACGGCAAATTAAAGTTTATTACAAACACAGTAAGAAGAAAGAAGTCTGATGCACATGCTAAAAGCGCAAGAGGACTCAGTTAACGTCAAACCCTTTGCGGTTTAAAAAAATTGAAAATTTGATACAATTTTTTATTTCTAAATCGTTTGAATTGTCTGCCATTCATATTAAATAATTAATTTTTAATTGTATCCAGTTCCGCGAAATTAAGTTCCTCTTTTACATTAACAAGGATTTTTTTAACATGAAAAACTCTTTCAAGCTTAAGTTCAGTTGTAATTCGCCACAACTCTGGAAACTGCGTAAGCTATCATCAAAATTTGTCATATCTATTCACCTTCAAAAAAGGTGTACAAAAACAAATTCGCAAATGTATCAGTAAAGTGTTGAATTCTGGTCTGGATAAAATTACTTTTCTTTGTAAACTATCTGAAAGCAAACAATATCAAGGAATTTTACAAAAGAGCAACAGATGAAAAGAGAGCGGGCTTCAATCTAAATCTATAGAACCATAAGAATATAAACTTCGTGTGTGAAAAGAATTTTTCTTAGAACTGAATTGTTCCATCAATGAAAGATTCGTGTTTATTATAGTAAACGCTCAAAAAACATATCTAATCCAAAAATAAAAATTATTTTTTCTTTGAAACTGTTGACCTAATCTTTTTCTGTTTTTTTAGTACTTCAGGTGCTTACATTACAACCACAAGTGCATGTGCGAATATCTAGTGTGTGTGATAAGAGAAATGAACTTTAAGTTAGATGTTTTATTAAATTTAGTGCTATAGCATAATATCGAAAACAGACCCCAGTGAGGCTTCTTATTCTGATTTCCTTCTGTTTTTTGGAAACAGAGAACATGTGCGATTTATGTGATGTAACAGGGGAGTAATTGTTAGTAACGTGATGTCTCGGTACTTCTAATAGTACCGAGTATTACATGTTTTGTACGACCGCAGTTTTAAATGTTTTGTTCGATTGCAAACACAGTCATACAAAACATTTAATAGAACTATGACTAATGATTAATGATTGCCGCGTTTAAAAACTTCTGTGGTTGGCTAAGCATTCGTATTGTAATAAAGGTATGGATAATGGCCATCATTACGCAATGCGTTGCAGGGTCTCATAAGGTATTTATACAATGGGCTCAAAACATTATTTAATGGAATGTTAATTCATATGTCTGAGCGTATACTTAAAACTGCAGCATAAGTTTCTAAAAAACAACAATGGCTCTATTAATTTAGTACCTCTTACAACTTCATATTCTCCTGTTTTTCTTCTCGTGCCATGAAAATTAATGGAAACACAAAACATAACTTTTCAAAACAAACAATAAATAACATAGTCATTTCATTCGTGTGCTATATTCTTAAAAAGTTTTTAATATTCAATTTTGATCCTCCTTATAATAAAATTGTATCTTCTGACAAATATGTTGGTGTATTGTTCATTCACCTTTTCCGATCGTAGAATGTTTGCAATCTTGGTCTCTGAGAAGTCGAATCACCACCATTCTACACCACTGGGGCCACTGGTAAATACCATCCCTATCTAAATACCCCACATGCCTTTGAATGAAACTACCTTAACTAATATTTCAAAAAATATACTTAAACATTATAAATTGATTGATTAAAAGACTTCTCTAGTGGTAAAAATTGCTACCATAGTTACCCAGGTTAAATCTACATTAAGAGAATATGTATCGAACTACGCATTGTCGACATATGCGTAAACTTGAACGGGTTTCCGCCCCCAGGCATCGGTCACTGTCCCAGTCGAGACAAGCTCTAAGCTCCAGAATAGTCTTCCAACAAGTGTGGTAGTGCAGTACATTGTAATTTTTTCAGTTGGGGAGGAGGGGCAAAGATGAGAAGGAAAGATTGCGGGCGGTCCGTGCCCCGTCTATTAAGATATTGGTTCGCCTTTCGCCGGGTATTGATCGGAGAATCAACGGAAAACTACCAGTGGGTGCAGTTGACAGCTAGTTCTTCTCCAATCAGTGGTGGAGTTTGACCTAGCTCTAGCTAGTGACAAAAATTTGCCACTGCGGGGAATAGAACCCTAGGATCAAAGACGCTGTGGTGGTTGCAGTTGTTGCCGTAATTGACGGCAAAGTGTAAATTCTTGGCATGTATTTATGTACTTCTAGATTGATCTTATTAATCTGAGCAGAGAAATCTTAAAAAAACTAGTGAGTTGATGAATCAAATAAACAATTCTCATCTTTAAGGCATACTCTATTACTTATTTGATTTTTATAATTCCCCATACAAGGACCTCTACATTCCATTTCTTCAACTCAACAGCGTTAAGCATTAGTGCTGGTGGCAATGTAAAATAAGATCTTGCTGAAGAACAACACATGACAGGTTTAGTAGAGCACTCCTTCACCTCCGCGCTCTCTTGTTCGTGTATTGTCTCGCGTGAGTGGCTGCCAGTGCGATGCGCTATCGAGGGCGGCGTCCACGTGTGAGGTCCACGTGCGGCCACGTGCCGCAGTGGGCGGCGCTCGCCCAGGTGCTTCTCTTCTCAGAGGAATTGGTTCTCCACAGCGCCGCCTTCACAGCGATCGTGTCTCGGGTTATCTTTGGTGCTTCGCCAGTCGTGTTTTGTCTTCGAATATTGTTTTGTAAATGCACTCTGAGAAGGGGTATGGAGAAATAGCCGTTGGCCTGTAGTCGCTAGAGAGAGCTTCTGAATGGTAATGTAGAAGTTCATTGGCCTTTTGTCTTACATTCTTGTCAAGAGCCATCTGATAAAATGGCGTCTGAGTTAATCATGGTACAACTCAGATTACTTGATTTTTTGAAAAATGTATAGTTAAAAAAATATTTTATTTACATAGGGATGTGAGAAGATCACCGTCTATGCTTAAATAGTTCTATAATTGTTTTACTCTTTCCAAGAAGTAGCCATCATCTATCATTTTCAATTTTATATGCAAAATTTAATTCAAAAGGAGCCAAAATCATTGGACAGTATCTAGAGCCATTTGAATGTAACCCAGAGAATCCAAGACTTCAGAGAATGGTGGAACGTTTACGATTAGAACATTTCAGCCAATTGTATTTACCTACATTAGTACACAAGTATTATTTCTCATCTGTTACAAAATGTTAAACATTTTACAGTAACAAACCATAAGTCAACATTTTAATAACACTTTGTGTCATTTTTAATGTTGTTGACTTGTGGTTCGTTACTGTAAATCTTTGTCTCTAGAGGACAACGTATTGATAGGAAAAGCATATTAAGAATATTTCCATAGTTTCTGTTATTTCGTCATTCATTCGTTCGACATTTCATCAATACAATCTTTTTGTCATTTCAGTTTCAAAAATTAATATAGTTTTAATCATGCAATTATCTCTCAAAATTACCTTTCACATGTTCGGATAATGCAATTACATGAAAAATTAATTGTGATTATTTGGTACTTGAACACTCAATTATGTAAATTAATTTGAGCATAAATTATTACTTCATAATATACGATACTCAAATCAAACCTGGGCGAAATAAATGGATTAAATTTAATATATTGTTGGAAAATATTTTGAGTTCCATAGAAAAGTTTTTTTTAAGTCAGGTTTTTCAACTTATGACTAAGTATACAAACATTTTAACAAAGTAAATATTTAGGATTATATAATGAAAAATATATTAATGTTATGGTTGTAAACCGCTGCAACAAACAGTACTCACCCACAACCGCAATTCCAGTTGGCGTCTCCATAGATGGGGAGGGTACCTCCATCCACGTACAGTTGTTGCTAATGGAATCATTGTTAAAACTGTCGCTACTTCTTCCACATTCCATCACAAACTGTTATTACTTTTTCTAAATAATGATGTACACTAAGAAAACATGTTTTACTGAAATGAAGTGTTAATGAAATTGAATTAATAATTCAAAATTATTTTCGCTTGCATCCGCCACTTGAGTCGCACCAGTCACTATTTCTTCCACGTACTTTTGCGGCCGGATGCTCCCGCCGACATCGTCTTGAAGACTGGCCCCTCTCGTCCTGAGACGAGCGATGCCTTGGCAGCCGTGGACAAGTTGAAACAAGTTCATATACACGTGATACAAATTCTGATGTGTTTCGCGAACATCTGTAGTTTCCTCCAGTGTTATCTTTGTAATTAAGTTGTTTTTTTTAACTTCTCTTTTTTTTAAGTAGCGTTAATGTCATGTAGATGATTCATTGCGTCTGTGTTATTTGATATGATACTTATATTGACAACCTTGCTAGTCTTTCTCATCAATATTTATACATGTGAGTGTAATGTTTTGATATCTCATTTTGATGTCTCATCAATTAAATATGTCTAGACATCATGCCAGCCTCTTTTTGAAAACGTTTTTGTTCGATAGTACAAGTAGTTACCTGTAGAAACAGACTGTAAATGAAACTTTGTTCTCCCAGACATAAATGCAATGATCAGTATTGTTGACATTAATAATAATAATAATTATTATTATTATTATGGCTACACTAGTGTAATAAATGTAGTTTAGGCTATTAGTTTATAATGTTAAACTTTATTGCAAGACTGCATCTGCATGAGTTTTCAAGTTTGTACGAATGCAATAAAGCAACATTATAAAGAAGTTGCAAACGCTATTTTTTGTATAATAACATAATAAATTAATAAGAGAATTTAACTTCATTTTGCGAAACAACTTTCTTGTGACGTCTCAGGTATTTGGCATCTGTGTGTGGCTATTCAGTTTACTGCAACTCCCGCGATCATCTCACTATAATTGACTGAATTTGTGATGATGCATTCATTCGTACCGTAAAATGCTTATACGTCATAATTTGTTCCATTAAATGTCATTTTGTGAACGATTTCTTGCAACAGAAAAGATCGTTTATAATGCTGGTATGCAAAAAAAGAACTATATTTGATTTATAGCCCTGATGAGAAAACAATAAAGGTCAGAAACGTCGGCATTTTATTTATGGTGCAATTTTTCAGAAAGAATTTCTAATAATTACTTTGTGATCGTGAATTTTAGAAGTACTATGGTATCAATATGTATATTATACATTCATTCAAGAATTAAAATTCCTGATTATTTGTGATTTTTCTGACTCACATTTCTGACACATGTTGTTGATTTTTTCTATTGCAAATTCCAATCATTTTCTTTCCATCAAGGAATGCCCATTTTAGAATGAGCTGCAACGGTGGCGCCATGCGGTGGCGCTACACATACTTAGGCTCCGCGAGGTTTCAGTGCCAGCGCCTCACATCGTCAACCGAGGGAACTAGTAGGAAGAAACTGTTAGTCCACCCGCTGCGCAGTTGTGTATGTTGGATAGCCGCACTACAGGCGTTGAATAAATGATGATAATATAATAATAATAATAATAATAATAATAATAATAATAATAATAATAATAATAATAATAATAATACCCTAAAATAATGTAGTTCTTTTCGTTACGTTCTAGTCGATTCAGTACGTACGACTGCTATTGAAAAGATGAGCATCTATTTTAATGATAAGCTTAAAAAACTGGCGGGATGTGGTACCATAGCAGGAACATGAACAAGTCCAAAGACTCATAAAATGTGATTTAGAGTATGAAGTTGTTGGAACGGAGAGAAATAAAATTTTTAGTAAATAACAATTAATACTATTTTTTAACTTCAACACATCTCTCATATCTGTCCGCTAAATGTCTTATATATTAACTTCTATATTACTCTATTTTATTACAAAACGTTACTACGTTTATCTAACTCTTCGATGATTTTTTGTATTGGTTATACTGCTTAGGTAAAATAGCAACACATTCAAGTCAATTCAACAAATGTACAAAGATATTTATAATTACATATATGGAGAAGTCGAGATTAACAATACTGGAACATGCCTATAACTCAAATGGAAAACAAAACTATTCTAGAAAATTCATAATTAATTTTTATTAATGTAAATGTTCAACTTTTAAAGCAAAGATTAATTGGCACAAATGAATATGAAAATAAGTTTTAAAATTAGTCAAGAAGATAAATGAATAGTGAAAAATATATCTTTTAATTTCATTTTCACATATGAAATCAATTAAATTTGAAGAGCTTTCTGATACAATATTCTGATGCAATATATTATTTCTGTTTATTTTATTTTGTTGATTATTGGATAAGAGGGCTCCTGACTGAGCGTTTTGGCACCTTCTACGGGTGAATGTTCGCTCAGTGCCTGCCCTCCCTTGATTCAGAGTATCTAAGGTTCAACAGGGATGCCGGTGTTGGCAGAAATCCAACTCAGGTATGAGCCAACTCGGGTAAAGAGAGACGGTAGAGTGGCCTGACACCGGCTGGTCATGTAAGTCACTAGACCAAGCTGTGTGTACTGTCCATCGTCTTCCTTTAAGGCAACAGCGGCACCGAAATCTCCCTGAAAGTAGAAAAGAAGAGTTTAAAGCACAAATGCTTCAGGCAGATGCGAAAATATACCCTCTAATTGTGGGATGATTACTTATTTCGTTGTGTATATTTATTTTACTCTATTTGGCAAGTTAGTTTTACCTTGTAACAATGGGTAGAACTTGAAGTAAAAACATTTTGAAAATGTTGAAAGTATACACAATATTACTCAGGGTGTGGCGAGTGAACTGTGCTATATTTATATAAGGGTTATTTATTATTTCTGTTTACTTTCTATTGTTAATTATTGGATCAGGGGGTTCGCGACTGAGCGTTTTGGAACTTTCTACGGAGGGTTTTCGCTCAGTACCTACCCCCCCACCAATGGGGGCAAGTGCCAGGGAGAACTCAGGCAGGTACAGAGGCTGTACGGCTCCATAGCCCAACCAACTGTATCAGGATATGCAGAAAAATATGAAAAACAAAACAAACTGTATAACAAATCATAAATAAATAAATAAGACAATGACTAATTGCATAAAACGACCGTGAATACTGCGACTCGAAGCATGCATGTTTATCGAATGGCTGGCGCATACACGATCTCCCTTCTCCAGGAAGATGACCACATTGTTTATTTTCTTCTGCCAACTCGAAATGAACACTGTTAGGGATGGTAATGAGGTGTGAATAATGAATCAGTGAGGATGATAGTGTATGGTTTAATGGTTCAGATGAATACACAATGGAATGAATAGCCACAGACGACCCAATCCCACGGTGAAGCATGCAGGTACTCGAACCCTTAAACCTTCGACTCTGCATTTTTGAAAGCTGCCCAGAATCTCTCTACCAGCGAGAATGATAACACGAATTCACAATATTCCATATGAGTTGGCCACATAACAACCCTAAAACCTGCTGTGGGGTATCGGAATGTGGTTTGGACCAAGTTGTGACCAATGGGGGCTGCATGACGTGCGCGATGGTGTAACGAATAGCCTGTTGTTATCCCCTTGTCGGTGGGTTCAAATCCGTTCGACGCCGTGGATTTTTAAGGGCGAAAAATCCTTCGTACGCCTTCTTTCGAAAGTAAAGCCGGCTGTCCCATGTTAGTAGATTTACTTGCATGTAAAATATCCTCAAGCCTAAATGAGCTAAATTCAAATCGCCTGTTTCGTCGCCCAAGAAATGCCTTCTTTCTCCGCTAGTGGGTGAAAGGAACGAAGCGAAATTTACGTGGTCAGACAGAAGAGCGGGCTTCATGGCCCGAGTCTCGCCACGTAAAATAAGGCATCAATTCAATTCAATTCAAATCAATTCATGATGCGTCGGAGGATCTACTCACGAGGCAAGGGTTGCTGCCGCTGGCGCTGGTGGCGCAGAAGCTGCTGGAGGTCATGGAACCGTAGTACAGCGCGCAATCAGCGTTGCTGATGGTGGTCAACGTGGAGAACTTCATGGCGGGGCTGACGATGGTGCCTGCAAATGAGTCGTTATTAAAACATCGTAACCCGAAATGCCTAATTTGACATCAAACAATGATAATTGAATATTGATGAATTAAGAAAAGTTATTTCATGCAATAGAACAAAAGCTCAAGTAGTGGTATAGTTAACATTTTCGAAGTTTTCTTAAACATCCTGGGCTGAAGCCTAAATCCGTAAGTAGCAGTGATTAGAATACCTTCTTTTAAATTATCCCTTTTCTAAAAATTGCCGTTTTTTAATTTGTTCTATTTTATGAATTAGTTTCCAAACACCGATATTGATCCAGTAGTAGCCATCGAAATATTACAAAATTTGGACAACGGTAAACAATACTTCACTAGGCACAGAATGGCCACGTACATATTGAACGTGATTGACACTTTGTCAGTACAAGAAGTATGAATTCATGTAATATCACTGCAATGCCAACATTAACAAGATGCTTTCTACATATTCTTGACTTACAAAAGACGGGAAAAGAAATTAGTTATTTTCGTCCTATGCCTTTTGACTAAAGGGCATAATTTCCACCTTGTGGCGGGTTTGAAGGTCTCGAATTCTTATTTTCAAAATTGAGCTTCAGTGGTCACAACTGGCATCTTTACGGTAATGTTTTAGTAAGTTTTTTAAAGTAACAATTGCTCATTTTTTGAATTCTCACAGTTATCTTGGATAATAATGATACACTATTTGTAAAATTTTAGCTCGCTGTTAACTTTTGATACAATGTCACTCTTAAATAAAAATTACAGTATTTACTCAACTCTTTTGACGATTAATAAACATATTTCGCGTGCCTTGCAATTACAAGTTAATACAAATTATAAGTTTCAGAAAAAAGGAACTGGAGTGAATCTCATTTCCAAATGTATGATTCTTTAATTGTTACTGCCCTAAACATAAAGATTTACAGTATTTTTGAGCGATATTTCAAGCTCA